GAAGATAACAAAAAAATATATAAAGCTACAGGCCAATCTCCCTAATGAATACTGATGCAAAAATCTTACCAAACTGAATCCAACAATGCATCAAAAGGATTATATACCATGACCAAGTGGGATTTATTTCAGAGACTAGAGGGTGGCCAACATCCCAAAGGCAATGTAATTCACCACATCAACCAAAAGAGCTCTTAGCATTTATTGATATGATTATGATTATTATCTTTTTGTTGGTAAAATTCAACATGCCTTTATGATGAAAGCCCTTGAAAAACTTAGGATAAAAAGAATATTCATCAACATAGTAAAAGCATATATGACAAATACACAGCTACCATCATTCTCAATGAAGAAAAACAGTCTTTCCACTAACATCTGGCACTCTCACCATTACTATTCAACATAATACTGGAAGTCCTAGTTCGAGAAATCAGATAAGAGAAAGACCTATAAAGGGAATCCTAATTGGGAAAAAAGAAAAGAAAGCTATTAATAATTGCAGATGATATAATATATATACAAAACCCTAAAAAATCCAAGAAAAAAATAATGAAAACAATAAACCAGTTCAATCAGCCTGGGGGAAGAAATTAAGAAAACTATCCCTTTACAATTGAACCAAAAAAAAACCTTAAATCTGAGAATAAACCTAACAAAAGAAATGAAAGAACTACACAAGGAAATTATAAAACATTGTTAAAAGAAATAGAAGGCAACACAAAGAAATGGGAAAATATTCCCTGCTTGTAGATTGGATGAATCATTATCAAAACAACCATCCTACCAAAAACAATTTACAAAGTCAGTGCAATTCCATAAAAATCTCAGTGACATTCTCCAAAGAAAATGGAATAAATATTGCTAAATTCATATAGACTCACAAGACTCTGAATAGGCAAAGATCTCCTGACTAAAAGGTGGAAGAATGAGGGTATTACACAGCCAAACTATATTTCAAAGCCATAGTAATTAAAGCAGCATTGTACTGGAACAAAAACAGGCATACAGGCCAATAGAATAGAATTGAAAACCCAGAAATAAAGCTACACATACATGGTCAACTAATCTAAAACAAATGAGCCAAGAATATACACTGGCACAAGGAAATTCTATCAACAAATGCTGCTGTGAAAACTGAACTGCCACATGCAAAGAATTATACTAGACTACTATTTCCCACCATGTATAAAAATCAACTCAAAACGAATAAAAGACTTGGATGTATTACCTGAAACCATCGAATATATAGATGAAAACAGAGGCAAAAAAACTCCATGACATAAGCTCCCAAAACACCTTTGAGAACTCATCTCCAGAAGCAAGAAAAACAAAGGAGAATATAAATACCTGGGATTATATCAACCTAAAAAGATTCTGTTCAGCAAGAGATAGTAACAAAAATGAAGAGACACCCTACTAAGTGGGAGAAAATATTTGCACACAATACATCTGATAAGGGGCTGATATCAAAGATCTACAGAAAGCTCACACAACTCAACAAAAACAGATTAAACCCCCAATAAAACAATGGGCAAAAGAGACGCTTATCATCAGGAAAATGCAAATCAAAATCACAATACCACCTCACACCTGTAAGAATGGCTCATATTTTTAAAAAATACTAGAGCCAGCAAGTGCTGGCTAGGATGGGGAGAGTAACATACATACATACATTCTTGCACTGCTGGTGGTAATGTTAACTAGTCCAACCATTATGGAATGCTGTGCAGAGTTTCCTCAAACACTAAAAATGGATCTGCCATATGATCCAGCAATTCCACTAGATTCCACTAGGAATCTACCCAAAGGACACAAAAAATACTAATTCAAAAGGAAACTTGCACTCCTATGATTATTGGAGAACTATTTACAATAGCCAAGATATGGAAATGACCTAAATGCCCCAAAACAGATGAATAGATCAAGAAGATTTGGTATATATACACAATGGAATACTACTCAGTGGTCACAAAAGATAAGCTCATCATTTGCAGCAACATGGATAGAGCTGGAAGGATTGATGCTAGGTTAAATAAGTCAGAAGGAAAAAGATAAATATCAGATGGATTCAATTACATGTGGAATATAGAAAAAAACAAAGGGTCAAAGACATAACTTGAAAGCTGACTATATGTATAATGCATCCATGGGGTTAGGAGAGAGGATGGGCAGAGGTGAAAACAGAATGGAAGGGAAAAGCACAGGGAATATGGTGATAGACTATGGGTCCTTTGGTAGTGGGATAATTATGGTAACCACACCTGAGGGGAGAAATCATATACTGTCCACTTTAAAAAAGTAATGAAATGAAACTCATGGCCTCCCTCTGCTATAAAATTTACCGTGAAGAATGTTTAATTAGCTGTTATTCATTCCTGCTTGTATAACCAATTGCTCCCAACAATTTCTTCATCACTTAAGAGTCCAGCAGCAGCTACATTTATTAAGCAGTTTCTATTTCACGGGAACTTACATCATCATATTTAAGCTCTACAAGAATACTGAAGAGAGGATATTACATTAGCAATCTCACTTTAATGTCACAAGTGACTCAAATTTTGACTGAGTAGATCCTACTAGAAAAATGATTCACTGTGCTATAAGTCCCATTGTTAATAACAGTAATAATAATTTTGCCTCTTAAAACACTTTAAAATATATATTCTCAAGATGTTGGAAAACACCAAGTTATTTTTTTAATTAAAATTTTCATTGAAATACCATTGGTTTACATCATTTCACCAAGTTATTTTTATATCCCTAAAAGATATGAGAAAAAAATAAGGCAATGAGATTAAAATAATATATAATAACTACTGCCAAAACTCAAGGTTGTCTTGTTTTCCCCAATTTCATTCCAGTAACAAGAGCACAAAACACTTAAATATATTGGTGTTCTATAAATTTGTTATTATATTTTTAATAAAAGTATTGCTATGGGTCAAATTGTATTCATAAAAAAGTTGTTAAATATAAAGTACTATCTGATGTAATTTGCTTATGATATGTATGTCAGTCATGTCCAGTTACAATCATTTTCTTTCTGTAACATTTCATTAAAAATGATGACAGAGGGCTCTCCCTGGTAGTGCAATGGGTTAAAGCACCACATTATGAAGCTCTCTGAAGCCACTGCAGCACGAGTTTGATCCCAGGCCAGGGAGCTGACCCACATGGCGTGGCAGACCTCTCTTGACCCGCCCGCTGCTCCCATCAGCAGTGTAGTTCAGTAGATCTGCCTGTTCTTCCCCCCACTCTGTCTCTGGTGAATCCTCTCACCCACACTACACCTCTGGCCTATACCCTAGTTCTGTAAGCATAAATAAATAAAATCTATTTTTAAAATGATGAAAGATAAGGAAATCAATAATCCAAGGCATATGTGAAAGTCACCGATAAGTCATGCTACTTGACACAGCTTATTATTATCATCAGTTCCTAACAAATTTTATACTTATGACTCTTCATTCTTGGCATAACCTTCAAGCTCAACTTCATAGTCTTAGAATTCTAAAAACCACCCATGAAACCAGCACTGAACTTCCATTCCTATCTACTAGGCAAACTAGTCTTTTGATAGATTGATGCCATAAATTTTGTGTGTACTCTACCCCCCAAATATTGTCAAATCCCAGAAAAGAACTCATTTATCACTTACACATCTTTAAAATTTGCTTATTTTAGTTTGAAGAAGGCTGATACAAAAACTATGCTAAACAAGTTAACTCCTTTGGTTTATTTTAAATAATTCAACATATTAAAATATGATTTGTAAAATATTTCAGGCATGTCAATTTATGTGAATCATTCTATACTGAAATATGCATATAACTTATGATGTATAAGCCTCTCTGTAAGGCATAATTCTTTACAGAACGTTTGATCAATCTTTAGGCTCCAAAAGGCCACTCACATGAACATTATTTACATAAGTATTTTATTAGTAATACATCTCTGACTATTATCCTCTTAATGACAATATTTTAATTGTATTATTAATGGTTAATGTAATTTTCACAATAGATTAATCATAGCAATATATCCAAATAAATAGAACTAACCTTGTACTCAGAAAAAGGAAACATTTAGTTAAAAATTTGATATATTCAACTCCATAATCCCCTGATATTCAAAGCAACTTGTGTGACATGTCCAGAAAAACACATTTTTCACACACATTCATTTAAATAACAATTATTGACATCTATTTGTATCAGAATCTGTACTTTGCTTAGGTATTCCGAAAAGAATTGTTGCATATAGTTGCTTCACCTTTGTACTACCCACTTTATATTACCAGATTCAATAAAACAACACATCTTAGTATAGCACTGAACATACACTAAGTGTTAAACATATACACACTGGACTGATATTAAAATATCAAAATTCACTTAAGACTACAAATTTTAGTTGACTATACTCCAACCCACCTCTCCTTATACTCTGGGGCTGATACACAGCAACATATACCAAACAAATTTTTTTATTTCATTTTCTTGATAAAAAGACAAAGGAAGAACTGGGGGAAACACATTCTAATATGTATTAAGAATAAATGCATTTGAAACTATGCACTATGCTATTTACATTGTTTCATACATTGTAAACCAACATTACTTTAACAAAATCTAACAGAATATTTAAAAAAAGGAATATCACCATTCAACACTGAGATATTGAAGTAGCCATATAGTCATATGATCCACAGTCACCCAGACCTTATAAGTTTGAAATGTTTTTATAAATTAATTATTATTATTGAGTAAATAGAAACTCATAAAATTTTCTGGAAGAAAAAGAAAGAATAGAATGAATTCTTTATATACTGGCAACCTATAAAAAAATAAACAACATGCTAATATAAGTAAATTTAGCATGTTGGTTTTTGATGTCAGAGAATTTTTAAATTGCCAAAAGTCACCCTGAAATAAAATTTTAACTGAATGTTATGTTAATATTCCTGAATTTACACTCATTATTTTTGCTTATATTACCTAAGCCAGAAAGAACATTCTTCATATTTATTCTGCTTGTGGGTTTCTACTCCAAAGTTGTAACAGAGAATATGAAGATATCCAGTCTGCAATATTAAAAAAAATAAAATTCATTATTTCCTTTATGTTAAAAAATTCATACTAGTTAAGGATCTTTAAGACACATTTAGAGCATTATATATATCAAAATAGCCTCTTCTTTATCAAAACATTTCAATTTGTATAAAGAAGAAATACAAAACATTCAGGTTTGGACATTTCAGGTTTGAAAAAGAACTGCAATATATTCCTAGTAGAACTTGAATGATCCTTTGTAACAGCCTACAAAAGGACAGACTAAAATGCTTCTGTTAGGTTGCCAGATCCAGAAAAAGGAATTAGTTAAGAAAGTAGAGAAAAAAGAAAAAAATCACCATTGAGGGGAAAAAATAAATAATTTATATTTCAAAATTAGTACAACTTAATGATCTGAAAAGTAATAAGGCTAATGCAGCAATCAGAGAGTCTAAGATCTGGGGCAAAACTAGGGCCTTTGTAACATCAGAGATCCACACAGACTACACTGAAGAGACTCATGCTTCCTTAAAGAAGAGGTAGATGGGGAGAAAAGTCTGGAGGCTGACATACAAACTGCATTGCTAAAGCTCTATCAGCTGGGAGGTGACAGCTGAGCAATCTGAAGGCACACACATGTGACTGAGGGGAAATATGTGTGAAGGAGACAGGGTACTCTGAGCAGGTTGAGTCTCCAGTTAAAAGAGCACGGACAAGGCCCTCCCTGGTGGTACAGCGGGTTAAAGCACTGCACTAAGAAACTAAAGCCACTTTAGCGTGAGTTCAATCCCCGCCTGCCTGGGAGGTGATCCATATGGCGAGGCAGACCTCTCCTGACCCGCCCACTGCTCCCCTCAGCAGTGTACTTTGTTGATCTGCCTGTTCTGCTCCCCACTGTCTCTGGTGAAGCCTCTCACCGTCCCTGCACCTCTGGCCTGTACCCCAGTTCTGTATAAACAAATAAATAAATCTTTTTTTTTTAAAGAGCAAGGACACTATGCTGAGCTGTGCTCCCTTCCCTAAATCCAGGATTGATACTGACCCTCACAAAGTACACTGACAGCACACAGATTACAGAGACTAGGGTCTAGAACCCCAAATAGGAGGAATATTGGTAGTACCAAAAACATGACACAGTCACCCCTCCCAAGCACATTTCACAGAGAATGGACCTCTTCCCGGGCCTCCCCCAAGTCAACAGATACAAGATCAGATCTCTGGAACCTAATCAAATAAAACCACAGTGCCACTTGTTGGAAAAGCAAAAACTAGTACAAATCTCTTAAACGTACAGATGGAAAAATGAAGCACATACTATCTTGAGATTTCAAGGGAATACACCACAAAGACAAAACAACTCTCCAGAATCCTATACAAAGACAAGAAAAGAACAAAGTTACCATGTTAAAGAAATTCAAAGAAACATAAGACAATGCAGAAAAGCAAGTCCAAGTGACACAAAAGAACACTGAAAGATAGTTAAGAGATACCAAAAAAAATGAGAAAACAAATGAATCACCACATGAGAAATAAACACAAAATAGGAACTGAGTCTTTCAATAAGAAATTAACAGAGCTGTGAGTTGCAAATAGATCAGAAAAGGAGGTAACACTTTACTGGAAAACAGTGTGAAAGTAGACTGGATCAAAGGGGAGACTGATCATATTCATATGCAAATTGTGAAGTAAGAGAAATACAAAAAAATAACAAAGAAACATTTTAAGAAGCATCTGAGTATATAACAAAGGCCACATAAAAAAGAATGATATTCCAGAAAAGGGCAAGAGAGAAGGAAAATGAGAAGTTTTCAAAGAAACAATAAAGGAAGACTAACCACATTGGGGGAAGGATTAAGTCTATGAAACTGAAAGAACATATGGTTAAATATAATGAAACACCACCAAGACATGTAGTAAAACTACAAAGGATTCAAGATAAAGGAAAAATACTGAAGTTAGTTAGGAGGATATCAAGTAACTTATAAAGGCACTCCCATCAGGTTTACATCATGAAGATACAAATTATATCAAGTATATTTTGTAATCACAATGGTTTCAAATCAGGTATCAACTACCAAAAATAAGAGAGCAAGAAAAACTTCCTATATAAGGAAACTGAAAAATATATATTATTAGATAACTAGTAAGTTAATGAGGAAATCAATTAAGAAGTCAAAAATACCTGGAGACAAAAATGATGACACAAACTACAAGAATCTCTGGGACAGAACAAAAACAGTACTAAGAGGCAAGTACACTAGAAAAAAGGCATACATCAAGAAACTAGAAAGAGTTCAAATAGGCCCTCCCTGGTGATGCAGTGGGTTAAAGCACAGCAGAGCAAGCTAGCCACAGCCACTTCAGTGTGTTAGATCGCTAGCCCTAGAGGTGATCCATATGGCATGGCGGACCTCTCCTGTCTTTCCCACTGCTCCCCTCAGCAGTGTACTGCATCAATCTTACTGTTCTGCTCTCCAATCTGTCTCTGGTGAACCCTCTCACTGCCCCTGCACCTCTGGCCTGTACCCCAGTTCTGTGTGCATAAATAAAATAAATTAAATTAAAATAAATCTTTAAAAAAATAATAAGAACACCATTTAAAAAGAGTTCAAATAAATAATCAAATCATACAACTTAATGCCATACAAAAGAACAAACAAAACCAAATGTCAGTGAAAGAAAATAAAAACTAGTGGAGAAATATATAAAAGTTAGAAATCACAGTTCAAAGATCAACAAAAGCAAAAGCTAGTGATTGAAAGAATAAAGGGAGAAAACTGATAAACAGATCAGAAATGAATGAGAATTGCCAAGAGGCATTTCAGAAGTACATAAGATTATCAGATTACTATGAACACCTACATGCCACCATGGAAAATAACCTAGAAGAAAGAAACAAATTCTTAAAATTATATAACCTTACTATGAGGAGATGGAAAACCTGAACAAAATACAACCTAGGAAACTGAAACAATAATCAAAAGACTCACATAAAACAAAAGCCTAGGAACAGATGATTTCACTAGTGAGTTCTACCAAATCTTCATAGAGAAATTAATAGCTATCCTCAAACTCTACAAAGAAAACTAGGGAAAAGAGAAATCTTCCAAACACTATCTTTAAGGTAAAAGTTACTCTGATACTAAAAGCATACATGGATATCTCCAAAAAAAATCCCAAACTACAGACCAATATCTGATAAAAACAAACACAAAACTACAAGCAAATGAAACTGATCAGATACAACATAAGGATGCCTACTTTACACTGCTATTCAACATTATATTGTAAGACTTACCTAAAGCAATTAGGCAAGAGAGAGAGAAAAAAGAAACCAAATTGAGAAAGGAGGAGCAAAAGTTTAAGTATTTATACATGACATTAATATACATTGAAAACCCTAAAGAATTCAATAAAATAAATTATTAGAAACAATAAATCAATAAAGTGGCAGTTACAAAAAAATCTACAAAAACCAATTGCATTCCAAAATGCAAACAATTAATTAGGCAAGAAAGATATAAAAAAAAACCCTTCTATTACTGAATTAAGTGCCTAAGAGTAAATCTATTAAAGTAAATGGTTTGTAAACTGAAAACTAAAACAGTATTAGAAGACAACAACATGGAAAGATAGTGTCTGTTCATGGATTGGAAGGATTAACATTGTTAAGATGGTCATTTTACCCAAAGCAATATACAGATTCAATACAATCCTTACCACAGAATAGAAATTCTAGAAATAAACCCAGATTTATATGGATGGTAAATCTACAACAAAGGCACCAAAAGTTTGCACTAAAGAAAGCAAAGTTTCTTCAACAAATGGTGCTAGAATTCTAGCCCACCCCCAAAAAAAATACTAACTTGGAAGGAAAACTGCACTCCCATGTTTATAGCAGCACATTTTACAATATCAAGACATGAAAATAATATATTTGTGAGAATGGTCCACATCAAAAACTCCAGAAACAACAAATGCTGAAAGGGTCTGGAGAAAAAGGAACCTTCATACACTGCTGGTAAGAATGCAAACTTGTTTAGCCCCTATGGAAAACAATATAAGGGTTTCTCAAAATATTTAAAATAGGGCCTCCCTGATGGCACAAGGGGTTAAGTCTTAGCACTATGAAACTATCCGCAAAGATGGCAGCACAAATTTGATCCACAGCCAGGGAACTAACACACATGGCACAGCAAACCTCTCCTGTCTTGCCTAATACTCCCCTCAGCAGTATATTTCAGTCAATCCACTGGTTCTGTTCCACACTCTTTCTCTGGTGAATCCTCTCACCCCCAACAACTCTGGCCTATACCCCAGTGTTCATATGCATAAGTAAATAAAAATAAATTTCAAAAAGAAAACAAAACAAAAATATTCGTTTAAAATAATACATATGTAAAATAGATAATCCACATGATCTAATGATTCCAATCCTAGGCATCTACCCAAGTGGTGCAATAAACACTAATTCAATGGAAACATACACTTCTATGTTCATTGCAGCTCTACATACAATAGTCAAGATATGGAAGCAACCTAAGTGTACCAGAAAAGATGAGTGGATCAAGATGTGGTCTATATACACAATGGAACATTACTACCTATAAAAAAATTAATTCTTGTCCTTTACAATAAACATGGATGGAAGTGTAGATTATTATACAAAGCAAAATAAGTCAGGGGAAAGGTAAATACCAGATGGCTTCATTCATATGGGGAATATACAGAAGCAAAAATCTCCAAAAGAAAGAAAGATTAGATATTTGACTGTAAAATTGAGAGGAGGTTGTAGATCTAAAGGGGGAGGGAACTATGAATTATGGTGGATGACTATGGTTGCTTTGATGGTGGATATTGTGTAGTAACATACATCTGAAGAGTTGTTATCCTATATCTCTGAATCACATATGGTATTGTAAACCAATGTTATCTCTATAAAAATAAGTAACAATACAACTTTAAAAATTCTAAAATTGGGTCCTCTCTGGTGGCACAAGGGGTTAAAGCACAGCACTAGGAAGCTAAAGCC